CCCCCCGTCTGTTTCCTCTCCTCTTTCATTTACCTATTTGCATAGACTGTCATCGTTAGAATTTCCATTAAAATTGAAAGCCTCCTTCCTGCATGTCACCTCTCGCAGCCCCCTTCCGCTTGCCCTGTGTGACTTTTGGAGGGCTGGAGAGCAAAGGTCCTGCACTAGCATCGCCTCCCGAGCCCTGTGTTCCCCCTGCCCTCAGTCCTGCTCCTCCGTTGCTATAGGAACATCCATCAACTTGGGAGTGCCAGAGAAAAAGAACAGAGAGTTATCTTAATTATTTAATGATTAATATATGTTTATAGAGTGCTTCAAAACAGTGTATAATTTTGTGAATTGTCTATTAACTGGGCAAGAGGTATAATTTGCTGAACATCCTCCACTCCCATTGTTTCAAAGGGAGGAAAAGGTGGTAGGCAGCTTGCAGGTTTTGTAATAGTTATATTACTAGGAGTACTAGTAGATCTGCTTCAGGAAAATAATTTTAACTAAGAGCCTTCACCTGGAGTTTTCATGGGCAAGGCTGTTCTCAACACCTACCACTGAGGTTACTCAAACACCTCCATTATAAAGACCTGTGTTCAGCTGTTCTTTGGCAAGTTTCACCCCCCTGGAAAGAAGGATTGAGGTTATTTCTTGTAAAGGTTGAATAAAAAGAGGAGGCAGAGAGTGCTTGCAGCTGGTGGTGAAACATGGCTGGCTGGTACAGGAGCCTCAGCTGCACCACTCTGCTGAGTGATTGTGCTTTTGCCAGACGGCTGCGGAGGCCTTTTGATAAAATTTGTTGCTCTGTGCCTGTAGTATCAGGTTGGAAGGGCTGTGTAAGCAAGCTCTGTCAGCTGATGAGGAAGGATGGGACGAGGAGCATGGTGCTGGTGTTGTGGTGCAGTGCTGTGTTCCCACTTCCAGTTGGGGATGCCAGCTAGACCGGTATCTGTGCCTGTGCTGGCTGTAAATCCTGAGCTCTGCCCAGTCTGACCCAGGTAACCTGCTGAAGCCAGTCTGCCTGTGCTCTCTCCAGCCCCCAGGGCTGCCTTCTGCTCTGACTTTCCCTGATGCTTGTCTGCTCTCTGGCTCCTTCCCTCTCCTGTTAGCCGGCTGTGACTCTTGCACAGAGGGATGCAAGGTACGTGTAGACTTGCCACCTGAAGATCTGTGTCACTGGGCATGGGAGAGCCTGGGACATGCAACACACACTGCCATGCATGCTTGAGAGCTGAGACTTGCAGTCAGCATGCTTTTGGTGTGAGCTGTCATGCGCCTTGGAGACCTGTGGGGCTGGTACACCCTCGGTGGCAGGCCTGATGGTCCTTGTAGGAGAGACAGGACAGCATGATAGAATACAGGCAGCTGATGAAAGCTGGTGCTCCCTGCCTGACTCACCAGGCTCCTTACCTGAATAAGGCCTGCAAGACCGTGGCTGCTGTGGTGGAGGATGGTTGGGAGGGTAATAATTCTAACTGGTGCTCTGGGAGCGGCTGTTTTGTTGGTATGAAGCACTGAAGACCTGTGATGCCATGGGATAGGTGCTGATCAGGTGTGTGATGTGTACAGCTCCCTAGTGTTCAAGAGGAAGTACAGAATGAATAAGGAGACTTGCTAAATGCAACAAATTTGCCCTGGACAAATTTTCAAAAATATTCACGTTGTTATTTAGGAAATATCAAAATCTTGTTAAATCTTTTTAATTTTATGGACTCTTGGACTTCTCAGCCTCTGTGAATCCATCTTCTGTAGAGCAATCATCCCATAAAAGTGCCTTCAAATGTGGCAGCCACCCCTCAGGCTTGTTATGGAGTTTAATTATGGATTGTTGCAGAAAAGTCTCTGCTCCACCTGAAGAAAGCAGTAGCAGTATTAGGTTGTTATTCTGTAGTAGTTCAGCACTAGAGGGGGATGTAGCACATGCTTTACATCCAGCAGGTTTCCTATGTACATACAACAATATTTTACAGTGGTGTTTATGAGGAGGCTGTTTCTTTAATTGCCAACATAAAGATTTTTTTCTTGCAGGGGCAATTTTCTTGCATAGGATAAAAATCAGAGAGGTTGCTATTTGCCAAGCCTTAAAAGACTGTGCTTGTAGTCAATTAATTTTGTTATGTTTCATGTGTTTTGGATATTGGGGCCTGAGAACTTCAGGCAATTTACGGGTTGGTTTTTTTTTTCTATTTTTTTTCTTTTTTTTTATTATTTTCTTTTTTTTTTGGTGTATGGCTGACATGAGCAAACAGAGAGGCTGCTCTTTAGTTTGGCTGTAGCTCTGATCCAAGCTGCTGGCTGGAAGGGTCTGAACTCTGCCCTTCTTACCAAGGAGACACTTGATGTGCTATGCTGTGGGACTGAAGTCTGTTGTGGTGGCGAGTCCTACAAGTAGCTGAACAAAGATGTAAAGCCAAATCCACCCAGCTCCACTTGCTTGGAAAGCTGCACGTTGTCTGTTTTCAGCAAAAATGGCTCTTCAATTTTGAAGAGGTCCCAGTAATAAAAACCAGTTGTCCACTTCATGCATGAGCAAAATACTTGGCAAAAAAAGCTGCTGCTTTGAGGTTTTGCAGAAGCTGGTCAAATTCCTGTCCTCTTGTTTTCCTTCTAATCTCCAGTGAGCAATTCTTATTCCATGTTTTTACGCAACAGTGCAGGAGTGTGCCAGTGTGAGAAGGTGACTTGCTAGCCTGTTAGGCAGGGAATTTCTCCATGTGCCTTTGGGTATGACACTTTGTGAGAAGAGCAGCCAGGCTGGTGTATGCCGTGGATATTCACAAATGCGGCTGTAGTAGAAGGTGAGAATGTCAGTTGCTGAAGAAAACCTGTATTCAGGCCAGTGGCTAAACACTCTCACAGATCCAATTTTTTGCAGTCTGCTCTATGGGAGATCATCATGTGTGCCCCCGTGCCCTCCTCTCCTTCTCCTGCTTGTACCCTGGAACTGAATGTGGCTGTGGTTCCCACCTCGTGCTGAAATGTTGGCTAGCCGGAAAAGATGTCCCCATTCACATTTCCACACAGAAACTTTTCTTTCCCTACTTTTAGTGCCTGTAATTACTTCTTTACTCCAGTGCCAGCAATCTTCCATCAGGCATCGTTATTAATGGAGAGAAAAGAGAAGGGAAGGGAGGGAGAGAAAGAGAGAGAGTGCCACAAAACTTAATTTAATCGCAGCACCCCATGCTCAATTTAACAGACACAACAGCTCAGAATGGGGTCCCTGTGCAACGGGAGGGCAGGCAGTGGAGCGTCCCTGGAAAGAATTAATTGTGGATGACAATGTGTAAACAGTGCAGATGAATAGGGCATGCAGGTGTGAGGCATCGGGGCCATCCCTGGGACTTTTTCACACGAATTTCAGCTCCTTCACTGCTGACCTGCTCCCGAAAACGTGATTAGTGTCGGCGTTGGGAAACCATTCAGGGTGTCAGGATTTGGCACATATTAACTAGCCCTGTGGAAGAAGGGAGGGGGCACATGGAGGCTATGAAAGGAGGAAGTCTGGCGGACAAGGGGATTGTTAAAGGGCCAGAAAATCCTCATTGCTCTGAGGTGCCCTTGCTGCTTGGAGGAAAAATGGAAAGGAGTCAGAGCAGAATAGAGCTCCAAGGCACTCTAGCCCTTACTGAGCTATGTGGAAAACAATATAACGCATTGTGGAATACTTTTTGTTGAGTCTCCATCATAAATATTAGTGATGCCTTTTCTTGGCTGTGGCTTTCCCAGTTCTAGACACTTCAGCTTGAGAGACAGTCAAAACAAGCAGGAAAGTTAATGACACAACAGTGCTAAGAACAGGAAATATCTCCTGAGTATCATATGGAAGTTGTTCAGAAGGCAAAAATGCCACTTCATAATTATGTACTCTATATGTACAGTTATACAGACAGGGGGCTGTACAATGGGCCCCATTTACCAAGCCTGTGGTCAGATGCTCTGAAATTATGTTCCTTTTGCCAGCTTGGCTTTCTGCATCCAAGCAGGGGAGTTACATGCAGAGAGTACATAATGTTACTGATATATTTTCCCACTCATAGCAATGATGCAAGGGGAAGAATGGAAGTGGATGGATACTACCATAAATACCAGTGCCTCTGCTGGATGCTATTATGCTCTTTCTTCCTTGCTGGAAATCGTTTCCCTGCCTGTCTTGTGACTTGGGCAGCATGGCATGAGAGCTGTGTAGGTGTCTTCTGAGATTCACAGCTTTGCGCTCCCTAGACCACTGCAGCCCAAAGACTTGGGTCTCGCATAATATAACAAAAAGAGAAGTTACTCTAATTGCAAACATACTTCTGGATGTGAAGGTGAGGTTGGATTCTTGCAGGCCTGGTGATGGAAAAGGGCATAGGCATTTGTGCTAGTTTGGAGTGCAGACAGCTGTGCGGGCGGCAAAGTGGATCAGCCCCTTCCTAGGCTGTTTTGGCTTGGAGAGGTGTAATAGGTGGTGAGGGGGGGACATGAAATATCACCACAGAAACCATGGAGGCAAGTGTAGAAATCCCACCTCAAATTCAGAATTGCACTTAGTCACTGCTGGAAAATTACCTACTTATTTTGCTTAGTAACTCATAATTATATGACAGACTAGCTCAGCATCCCTTTGAGAAAAGGCTGGTGGTGCCTATTGCTGCCTCCGAGGCATATTGTGTGGCTGAGGGAACACAGAACTTCTGTGCTTGGGCAGTGGAAGTTATGCCTTTAGTCCTCACTGTGGTAATTGGAGATGATTTCTGTGGTAAATCTGTGGAAAAATAGCGATGGCTACGTGGGAAAGGTACTCCTTAAGCACTAAAGTAACCTGGCAGTGCTCATATGCTCAGTTAAATTGTTGGCAGAAGGGCAAAACTTGATTGCCATTAAGCCCAGTGATATCTAGATTCATAAGAAATA